CCGCCGTCCCGACAAAACCAGCGCTCCCGGCCGAGACTTCCTCCCGTTTTACGCTGGACTGGCGCCCTACTCTCTTTTGAACTGGCGCCGCTCCCAGCAAGAATAACGCTCCCGCTCGAGGCGTCCTCCCTTTTTCCTCAGGACGGTGCTGCTGTTCCTCGCCGCTGACAGCCCTCGTCCCGACAAAACCACGGCTCCCGCTCGAGACTTCCTCCCTTCTTACTCAAGGCGGTGCTCCTCCTCGCCGCCGACAACCGCCGCCCCAACAAAACCAGCGTTCCCGCTCGAGACTTTGTTTTGTTTTACGCTGGACTAGCGCCCTACTCTCTTCAGCATTGGCGCCGCTCCCAGCAACAACAGCGGCCCTGCTCAAGACTTCCTCCCTTTCTGTTCAGGGCCAGGTCCTTGCCTCGGCGCCGACAGCCCCAATCCCCACCAAGGCAATCCTGTCGCTCGATACTTCCTTGTACTTTACCCTTGGCTGGGGCTTCACTGGCGGTCTCGCATCGGCGCAGCAAGGCGCGGGCATGCGTTTTCGAGGCGGGATAGACTGAAATTCCTCGGAGAAGGTGATTCCAAGACTTCATTGGGCGGGAGATCTGGGAATGGGAATAACGGGCCCCGCTATAGAACAATATCCCCCCTTCGTGTAGAAACGTCGCGCATGAGGGTAAAATGATCGTCGTCGTCGTCATCGTCGTCGTCGTCGTCGTTTTTTAATTATTTTTTTTTTTGTTACCTCTTTCATTTTTCCTCTTTTTTGTATTTTGCCAATGGCAGACTCAATGAGCACCAACATCTGTCCAACAAAGCGTGGCTGTTTTCCCGGCCGCAGGCCGGGTGGAAGATACGCAGTCTATACCATTGTGCTCCACGCGCGGCCCGGCGGCGAGCCCCAGGGGGGGGGAAAGGCGGAGGGGGGCGGGCCTGCCCATGCCCAGAGGAGGGCTCGGGAAGGCCTCGGGCCTCCCGAGAGCAGAGGCTCTCTGCGCCTCCCCCGGAGGACGCGGCAGCACCTCTCGGCAGGCGCGAGGGCCTCTGTGAAGCCCTGGCGCCTGCTGGGAGGGCCTGCCCCCTCTCTCGCTCCCCCGAAGACGCAGAGCACCTCTCTCTCGCTGCCCCGTCTCTCTGCGCCTTCCCCGAAGGCGCAGCAACACCACTCGGCAGGCGCGAGGGCCTCTCAGCAGCCCTGGCGCCTGCTGGGGCCCCCTCTCTCCTCCTCCTCCTCCTCCTCCTCCTCCTCCTCCTCCTCCTCATTCTTCCTCCTCCCCTCCTCCCTCCTCCTCTCCTCCCCTCCTCCTCCTCCGTCCACCTCCTCCTGCTCCTCCTCTCCTCGTCCTCGTCCTCGTCCTCGTCCTCCTCCTCGTCCTCCTCGTCCTCCTCCTCCTCCTCCTCCTCCTCCTCCTCCTCCTGGAGGGCCTGCCCCCCCTCTCTCGCTCCCCCCGGGCGCGCGCCGCGGGGCGCGGCAGCGGCGGGCCCGCGGGCGAATCAGGAACGGATCGCTTGAAGCGGCAACGCCGGCGAACGCAGGCGCGCCTGCCGTGCGGGGCCGGCGGGCCGCGCCGGGCGTCAGCGCACTGCACCAGAGCGGGTGGCACCCCTACTTGCGGATGTGGGACGAAACGCAAAAAATACGTCCACAATGTTGAAAACAGGTAATCAAACATGGTTTAAAACATCGTGCCCGCACTGTTTTTGGATATTCCTCCTGTAGAGGGACAAGCCCGACTTCAGCGTAGCGTGTCGCGCCACAGCGTGGCGGGTCAATACTGGCGGCGCGCAAAACGCCGAGCCCCCCCAAAAACCTGGCAGAAGGCTCCCCGAACTCAGCGGGCACCGAGACGATTGAGGCCGCCGGCTCACCCGTGCCCCCGAACCCCGCGCCCGCCGCCGCGCACTCCGACGCCGCCCGCCGCCCGCCAGTCTGCCGGCCCCCCTCCCTCGATGCTCCTCGTACTCCCCCTCGTCTCCCCTCTCCTCGCCCCCTGGATCGGCTGTCCATCTTTGGGAGCGGTCCCGAGGCCCAGTGAGAGCCCCCCGAAACCGAAACTGGCGAAACCCTTCAGGGCCTGCCGCAGGCTCTCCTGGGAGGCGCCCCGCCCCCGGGCCGCCCGCGGCTGGAGCGCCGCGGCGCGGCCGGGAGCTGCGCCCGCCTCGGGGCGCCGCCGTGCAGCGGGGGCGTTGCCAGCCGCGTGGCCACGTGGCCGCCGCCCGGCATCCGCGCGCGGCTTCGGGCAAGCCGCCGCAGGCGCTGGAGCGCGGCTGGCCCGCGGCGCCCCGCCACCTCGAGCGCCAGCGGCAGCGCCCGCCGTGGCGCGTGGCTGGCGGGGTAGCGCTCGCGCTTGTCCGCTTCGCCCCTCCCGGGCCGCGGGCGCCGTCGGCACCCGCCGTCGCGCGGCGGGCCTCCAGGTCCAGCAGGGTTCCTCCGCCTTCTCATCCCCCCGTTTGCCCTGCGGCGTTCTCACAGTCCTCTTCGTCTTCCTCCTCGTCGTCGTCGTCGTGGTCTTCTTCCTCCTCCTCCTCCTCCTCCTCCTCTTCGTCTTCTTCATCCTCCTCCTCCTCCTCCATCATCAATTTCCCTTATAACTCCTGGCTGTCGCTCTCCTGGTCGTGTTCGTAGGGCGGGTCGGGCGTTTCGCCTGAGGCTTCCGCATCATTTATGACCCTGAAACTTGAAAGTAGCAACAGCTTCGCGGATGGAGAACGGATCGTTTGCAAAATGTGGCTCTCGCTTCAATTCCGCGCACACGCGTTTTGACAGTGTGCAGCAGTTTCAAGGATGGAGGGCGGGTCCTTTTCACAATGTTGCTCTCGCATAAACTCCGCGCACGCTCGTCTTAAAAATTTGCAACAACTTCACGGATTAATAGCGGGTCCTTTTCAAAATGTGGCTCTCGCCTGGGCGCCGCGCGCATTCGTCTTACAAGCTTGCAGACATTTCACGGATGGAAGACGGGCCGTTTCCAAAATATGGATCTCGCCTGCACGCCGCGTGCAATGGTCTTGAAAGCTTGCAGCAACTTCAAGAATGAAGGCGGTCCGTTTTCAAAATTACACCAGAAAGAACCAATTGGTGGTATGGGAATTGAGGTCGATAGTGAGATCCATCGTGGGATCTATGGTGAGGACGATCGTAAGGTCGATCGTGAAACCGATAGTGACATCGATTCAGTGAGATCGATAGTAAGATCGATCGTGGGATCGCTCGCGCGATCTATAGTGAGATGGATTGTGATATCGAGAGTGAGATTGATTGCGAGATCGATAACGAAAAAGGTAATGAGATCGATGGTGAGACCGATCGATAAAGAGGTCGACCAAGATCCCGGAAACCCGGCAACCCGGGAACCCCGCCACCCTCCGAAATCGGCCCGGAACCAACAACTGGGAACCGAGGAACCCGGAACCATACCGAAATCGGCCAGGCACTTTCGCCAAATCTTTCAACATCCGCTGGGACCCCTTCAGTGCAAGCACTGATTGGGGAATGTGGCTCTCGCCCATGAACCGGGCAACTTCGTCTTAAACGCTTGCAATCATTTCAAAGATTCGTATGGTGGCAGTCCCAGACATGATGTTCTGACGCATTTCAGGATTGCCAGGACACAGCAATCATGTTGTCTCGCGGTGCTCAAGTCCAGGAATGGTGTTCGGGCGCTGTTTAAGACTGTCAGGGCGCAGCAGTCATGTGATCCGAGGCGTTCAACTCCTAAGACCGGTGTTCTGGTACGATTGGGGACTCTCAGACGGTTGTCTTCTAATGGGCCACTCCCCGTAACGAACTCAACTTCTTTCTGGGGATCTATGAAGGAGGGAACTTGGGGAGTATTGCAACGTTGATGATGCGTCGTGGGTTTGTACTGGTCCTCCTCCTCCTCCTCCTTCTCTTCCTCCTCCTTCCTCCTCCTCCTCCTCCTCCTTCTCTTCCTCCTCCTCCTCCTCGTCCTCGTCCTCGTCCTGCTCCTCCTCCCCCCCTCCCCCTCCTACTCTTCCTCTTCCTCCGCCTCCTCCTCCTCCTTCTCATCCTCCTCCCTCTCCTCCTCCTCCTCCTCCTCTTCCTCCTCTTCCTCCTCCTTCTCTTCCTCCTCCCCCTCCTCCTCCTCCCTCTTCCTCCTCTTCTCCTCTTCCTCCTTCTCTTCCTCCTCCTCCTCGCCCCTCCTCCTTCTCCTCCTCCTCCTCCTTCTCCTCCTCCTCTCTCCTCCTCCTCCTCCTCCCCCCGCTCCCTCCTCCCTCCCCCCCCCCCCCTCTCCTCCTCCGCCCCCTCCCCCTCGTCCCCCTCCTCCTCCTCCTCTCTCCTCCTCCTCTCCTCCTCCTCCTCCTCCTCCTCCTCCTCCTCCCTCTCCTCCTCCCACCTCCTCCTCCTCCTCCTCTCCTCTCCCTCCTCCTCCTCCTCCTCTCCTCCGCCTCCTCCTCCTCCTCCTCCTCCTCCTCCTCCTTCCGTCCTCCCTTCCCTCCCTCCCTCCTTCCTTCTTTTGCTTGCCTCCGGCGGTCGCGAGCCCCTGTGGGGCGCGGGCCCCGATCCCCAGATGGGCCACCGGACGGAGGACGGGCTCCCACGTGCCGCCGCCTCCCCACGGCCGGGCGGCAGCTGCGGCGAGCCGCCTGCCCTCGACGCCGGGGCGCCCCCCAGAAGGGCATGGCCGCCCATTGTTGGCACACGCGAGGGGGAGACGCCTCGGAACCCTCTCGTCCCCCCCCCCCCCTCGCTGCTCTTGCCTCTTCCCCGCTCCTCCTGCACTTCCTGCTCTTCCTGCTCCTCCTCCTCCTCCTCCTCCTCCTCCACCTCCGCCTCCTCCGCCTCCTCCTCCTCGTCTGCTTCTGACCCTCCTCCACCTCCTCCTCCTCCTCCTCCTCCTCCTGCTACTCCTCCTCTCCATCCTATCCGCAACCACCTCTACTCTTCTCCTCCCCTCTTTTGCGCCTCTTCCTTCTCCTCCTCCTCCTTCTCCGCGGCCCCCCTCCTCGTCATCAGCCCCTTTCCCTCCGTCCCCCTCTTTCGCCTCGAGAGCTGGTCGCCGTCGGTGCACATCGCGTCGAGGCGAAAGCGCAAGGTCTGGAGCTGCGCATCCTTCTCCCTGACCTCCTGCGTTCACCGGCTCGCTCCAAGAGAAAAGCTATCGTGCGGGTTGCCTCCTCCTCCTGCTGTTGTGCGGCACGCTGTCTTGTAGAGGAAGAGGAGGAGGGAGGATGCGGGGCACATCAAAGTCTTACCAGATCCCGAGTTGCGCCTATGTTTACGACGAGTGCCTGAGGGACACCTTAGGAAGGACCTACCAGTAAGGACCCCCCGCCACCTCAGAAGCAATAGCGGTATTTTAGCACTAACACGTGCTGGCTGTAGGCAGATGGGGATATTCGATGGTTTCGATTACACGGATTGCGCACATGCGGTTGCCAACATGTGGCCCTCGCCTGACCTCCGCGCGCATTCGTTGAACACGCGTTCAGCGCATACTTTTTTGATTCGCGGCCCGCAAGGAAAAGTCCAGAGGGCGGTAAAAACGAGGCTGGGACACAGCGCGCGAGAAGCAGATAACTAATGGCGCAGCACTGTGCCGGCCGAGAAGCCGCTGAGCGTATGTCAGCGTTCAGCGCATACACGGAGGGAGGGCGGTATCTGCTCTTTTCCATACTAAGGCTCTCGCTCGTTTCCGCGAGCAGAGGAGCGGAACTGGTAGTATGCGCAGCAGCCGCACGGATGGAGGGTGGTTCCCTGTGAGGCCGTCGCGCTCGCTTCGAAGTGTATACCTCGTAGTGTGCCATCCGAAGCATGACGATGTGCGACGTCTACACGCATGGAAGGCGGACCTCTTTTGACACGGGGCTTAAACTATCCATCAGTCGGAATAAGTAGGTAGAAACATGAAGTAGGAATGCGTTATGCATTTGAAGTAGATGGGGCCTCCGTCCGCCCCCCAAAGGAGGACGGAAGAAGGTGAAGCCACTCGATCATTGACGTAGGAAGGCGCCTACGAGTAGATTGGAATCTGAGAATCCAGAAATGCCTACTTTCAACGTCCGATGTGCGACGTCTACACGCATGGAGGGCGGACCTCGTTTGACGCTTCATTGAGCTCGTGGCTGTGAGGCGGTGCGTGGCTGTCCTTGTTCAGACGGGGCTACCGCGTGCATGGCGCGCCCACGAGGCGCTCGTCCTTCAAGGGGGCTCCTAAGTATAAAAGGGGCCCAAGGGCACATCAATACTTATACACAGATCCCCGGATTCTCGAATTTTTCCATGTACTTTCTTGGTTTTCGTCTTGCCCCCACTTCCCATATTTTCCGATGTTTTCTTGGGATCGGCGATTTTTTTTCTCCTGATACTTGTGAAAATGAATGGCCCGAGGGTGCTTCAGACGGAAGGGTGCGTTACAACATCGTCGAAGCACTCTGGGTTGATTCTGGTTCTCCTTTTCCTCCTCGCCTTTGGACGTCCCATGGATTCCAAGGCCTTGCAGGTCCCTGGAGATTCCCGGAAGACCCCTCCCCAGGACGTCGTGTGTTTTCCAATGCGCGGGCCCCTAGACACCCATGCCCAATCTTTGGGGCCGACTTTTTATCCTGAGTCGTTTTCTGACAACCCCGGTGCCAAACCGCACGTGGAGGCGAAAACGGTAAAACACCGTCATGGTGTCTTCTCCAGTGGGGGAAGGGCTGGAGGTCTCCGAAGTCCCTGGAGGCCTCCAGGTCCCAAAGCAGGCAAACATTTTCATGAAATCGTTCTCCTCCTGTCAGTCCTGACCGATCTTCAGCTGCGAGAGAAGCAGGAAGAAGAGACAATCTTAAGCAGGAGTCGCATAACAACGTGGAGTGTCGAGGAGCAGGGGAGCAGGTGGGGTCTGGAGGATTTTGTTGTCCCCCCGCGACGGAGGCTCGGCAACCCTGACTCTCGGCGGCGGCCGCAGGTCTTGTGCGCACTGTGGTACCAATCCTCTAACCAGGCGCTCGAATTTAGCGGGCTGCTTACCTCAACGCCAGAACACGGAAGCGCACCGGGGGGAGGGAGGAGGGCGGGACAGCATGAGGAGGCGGAGGCGAAAAATAACAAGAGAGCGTCGAGTAGGTCTCTGCATGCCAGCGTGCGTGCAGAGCCATGGACTCTTCCACCGCCTCGCACGCACGTTTAAAAACGAATTGCAATCCAAACTCCCGACAGCAGAAGGGACCGTGCCCGAAACAGGGGGCAAGAAGACGACGAAGGAACACCAGGGGATGGGAAGGGAGGAAACAGCCACGTCGGACACTCGCGCGTGCGTAGGCCGCCCTTGGAAGAAGGCACCCTCGCAGAAACTCTCAGAACTGAGCGACGCGAGCTCGCATACATCTGGCGCCGCGCTGGTGGCGGGCATGGCGAACGCCAGAGACCACCAACGAGAGCTGGGGGATGTGTCTGGAGGATGTGTTAGCGCAGCGGCTGTTCCAGAGCGCTCTGGAACGCTCTGAGAGCGCTCTGGAACGAGTCACCTTCGTCGTGCGCCTGCCTGACCGATCCTTCCTCCTCGCTGTTCGCAAACGTTTGCGGGGGTAGAGCCGGTAGCGCTTGTCGAACAGCGCCTCGAGGGAGTACCTCGGCGACCGTTGTTGGGGAGCGGTCCCTCCCTGCAAAACAATAACAATGCACCGCAACAAATGCAATTCCAAAACCACGTCAAGAATGTGTGTCCCCGTTCATTGTTGTGATCCCCGACCCCTTTCTCGATCCTCGCTCTCCCCGACCCCTTCCTCGATCCCCGACCCCTTCCTCGATCCTCGGGCCGCACCCGGCACGGCGTCGAAGCCGACCCCGACCCGCCCGCGCCACGACGCGCAGCGCGCCTCCCCGCGAACGCCGCGAGGGGCCGTCGGAACCGGAGGGGCAAAAAACGGCACGAGCATAAACTTAGGACGGGATTTCGAACGAAAAATAAAACATAGTCACAATAATGCCCCCAAATATTCAACAAATACTCAAAGAGAAAGTCCCAATCCTTTTTTTTTTCGTGTGTGTGTGTGTGTGTGTGCGACTATTTTTGAATTTTTCTCCTGTAGAGGGACAGGCCCGACCTAAGACTTCTGGGATCTGCGCGGAGCCCCCCCTCCCTGGCGCGCGGAGCGCGCCGGGGGGCGGCGCCGGAGGCGCTGCCAGGGGGGCGGAACGGCGGAGCCGAATCGGAGCGGGCCGGGAGGGGGCCGAGAGACCCGACAGCCGGAGGGTTCCAAAGGGAGCTTTTGGGGAGGGGGTTTCCCAGGAGGGGCCCCCCAGGGGCTTCGCACCCCCTGTCTTGACGAGGTTCCGAGGCCCCTGGGGGGCCCTCTGGGAATCCCCCTCCCCAAGAACCCCTTCTGGAACCCTCCGGCCACTGTGAGACACGCGCGCTCCACTACTCGCAAAGCAGCCGCTCGCAAGCGGCCTGGATCCGCCGAGGGGGACGTACGGTACATGACCTCGAGGTGAACAGATGATATTCGGAGTTTGCGAGTACAGTCGGGGGCTTGACCTAAGGAACCCAAAACAAGGAACGAGGCCCCTATTTTCCAGAAGTTGAACTTCGACTTCGTATCGAAGACCTGAGGACAATCCAAGGCAAGCTGCGAAACAGTTAGGGAACACGGAGCCCCTCCCCAACGAAAAGGGTTCCTTCTTCAGGGCCCCGGCTGTGGGCACTCTGCGAGTATAGAGGCCTCCTAGATGGGGTCGGAGAAGATGGGGTCGGAGGATGGCGCCGCATCGAGGATACATCGACGATGCATCGGCGATGCATCGGCGATGCACCAGCGATGCATCGTCGACGCCAGCGATGAATCGGCGACGTCGACGCGAAGCAAATCGGGCTCCCCATCGAGCCGCATCGGCGATGCATCGGCGATGCGGCGCGCTCCTTCGACCCCATCTACTCCGACCCCATCTAGGAGGCCTAGAGAGTAGGGGAGCGCGCTCGGAGAGCTGCTTCTCCCTTCGGGGAGCGGCGGAGCTGCGTCGGGTCGGGCCGGGCGGGGCCGAGAGGCCCGGCAGGGGTCGACGGGAGCAGCGTGCGCCCACAGGGGGGAGCCCGTGCGCGCGCGCTCCCGGGGCACGGGGAGGGAGCGCCCCGCGAGCCCGCCGGGGTCAGAGTTTAGGTCGGGCGCGTCCTCCCACGGGGAGTTTTTTTTTTTTTTTTTTTTTTTTTTTTTTTTTTTTTTTTTTTTTTTTTTTTTTGTTTTTTTTTTTTCTCTCCTCACGTCGACCACGGCGGCTGGATGCCTCGACAACTTCGCATGGCCACTGCCCCCTCCCACGGGGAGCTTTTGGACGACAAAGAACAACATGGTCGAACAATACGCATACATTTTTAAAACAATAATGGAAGCATCGTCCCCGGACTATGTTGTGACTCTTTCTGAAAGTTCCTCCTGTAGAGGGACGTCCCCGACGGAAGGCTGGTACGACGGGGCCCTGGAGCATGCAAGTACATAGACACAGGTCCCAAGACTCCCCATACTTTCTCTCATATTTTCTGGATTTCGTCTTCCCCCGACCCACTTCCCATATTTTCCGATATTTTCCGGGGGATCGACGATTCATCGTGTCTGTGTGTGTGTGTGTGTGTGTGTGTGTGTGTGTGTGTGTGTTTCTTTCCCTCCTGATAGTAGAGGAGCAATCAACGGCGTAGACATGATTTCTCGGAGGCCCTCGCGGATTTCTCGGATCGGCGCGCCAGAGGCGGCGTCGCCAGCCGCCAGGGGTGCGGGGACCTCCGAGAAATTGCTCTACTGCCTGGTAAGGCTTCGGGTTGTGCCACAGACAGCCCCCCCAGGTAGTCCCGGCTGGCCTCAAGAGGTACGGCGAGTACAGCTGGCCCGTATCGGAAGGATGCGCGATGAGGATGCAAGGGCCTTGGACGCCCGTTCCGAAGCTTTTCGAGCGGGGCGCGGCCAACGAAAGTGGCCAAGGATGGACTGAGGAGGCAAGGATGCAAGGGCGCCTACCTTCGGGAAGGTTGCTCATACTTACTATGCGGGTTGATTGTAGTCCAGGGCGGTCTCAACACCCCAACCCTGGGGCGCGGAGCGCCCCAGGGGCGCCGCCGCAGGCGGCGCCGAGGCATGGAGACCGCACTGGACTGCTCCTGGGGGCCTGTTAATGCCAGCCGGGACCACCAAGGGGGATGGTCTGGGCGCAACCCGAAACCTTACCATACATGTTGTTTTTTTTCTTCGGGGATCTTCTGACCCGGGTCTTTCCAGACCTGGGTCAGTCAAGCCTTGCAGAATCCTGCGAGATCCTGCGCCCAAGCTTGGGTCAATGCGAAGGATCCTGCAAGATCCTGCAGCATACTGCACCCGAGCCCGGGCCAATGCAACCCTGGCCCTGCAGGATCCTGCAGGATCTGGCGCTCCGGCTGACCCCCGTTTGCATTTACCCCCCTCCCTGGCGCCCCGCGCGCCAGGGAGGGGGTCCAGCGCCGATCCGAGAAATCCGCGCGGACCTCCGAGCTTTTATGTTTACGTAATTTCTCGTTCCCCCAGAGGATGAGGAGGAGGAGGAGGAGGAGGAAGAGGAGGAGGAGGAGGAGGAGGAGGAGGAGGAGGAGGAGGAGGAGGAGGAGGAGGAGAAGGCTCCCGAGTTCTTCGGGGGACATCTCCTCCGTCCCTGGCGGGCCGCGCTCTCGGCCGCCGCCGCGCAGCCCGAGAAGCGGCGGGCGCTCTGTCAGGGCTAGGGTTCTCAGCGCAAGCTTGATGATGATGACGATGATGACGACGATGATGATGACGACGATGATGCTGATGATGATGATGGTGATGCTGATACTGATGATGATGCTGATGATGCTGCTGACGATGATTGTGATGATGATGCTACTGATGATGGTGCTAGTGATGACGATGAGGACGATGCTGATGATGATGGGGCGATGATGATGACAATGACGATGACAATGATAATGACGATGATGACTATGATTATGATGAGGACGATGCTACATTTGATGCTGGTGATTAGGATGGTGATGCTGATTCCTATTATGATGATGATGCTGGCGATACTGATGCTGATGATGATGACGATGATGCTCCTGATGATGATGCTCATGATGCTGATGATGATGCTGCTGCTGATGATGATGCTGATACTGATGATGATGATGATGATGCTGATGATTGTGATGATGATGATGATGATGATGACGATGAAGATGATGATGATGATGACCATGAGGAAGAGGGGGAGGCGGAGGAGGAGGAGGAGGAGGAGGAGGAGGAAGAGGAGGAGGAGGAGGAGGAGGAGGAGGAGGAGGAGGAGGAGGAGGAGGAGGAGGAGGAGAAGGAGAGGCGGAGGCGGAGGAGGAGGCGGAGGAGGAGGCGGAGGAGGAGGAGGAGGAGGAGGAGGAGGAGGAAGAAAACCCATAACCCTGATGTGATGAGTTTTTTTGGTTGTCCCAACGTCGGCCCCGAAAAGGTCTCGACCCAATTCCTGGGCCGTTTTTTCATCCTGAACCGTTTTCTGATGGTCCTGGGGCCCCGCCGAAAGGAGTGAGAAACTGTCGGTCGTCTTTTTCTCATGACGTGAGGGGGTCGAGGAACGGACAAGGAGGTTTGGCTCGGTCGTCCTCGAAGGCGCGAGTCACGCTCGCAACTGCCAGGCGGGAGCCGCCCTCATGGGACGCGACAGCCGAACGGGGCGGAGCGGAGTGCCTGTGCGAGAGGGGAGCCCTGCTCAGGTGAACGCGGCCTGTGCTCAGCATAAGCTCTTGCTCGGACGGCTTCTTGGGGCGGGGCCCAGAACGAGACTGGCCCGGAGATTATGGGACTGCCTCTGCAAAAGAAACGAGGTGCTCGCGCACATGTGACGGGGGGGGAGAGGCAGCCCAAGGGGGAGGAGGAGGAGGAGGAGGAGGAGGAGGAGGAGGAGGAGGACGAGGAGGAGTAGAAGTAGAAGTAGAAGTAGGAGTAGGAGTAGGAGTAGGAGTAGGAGTAGGAGTAGGAGTAGGAGTAGGAGTAGGAGTAGGAGTAGGAGTAGGAGGAGGAGGAGAAGGAGGAGGAGGAGGAGGAGGAGGAGGAGGAGGAGGAGGAGGAGGAGGAGGAGGAGGAGGGAGGAGGAGGAGGAGGAGGAGGAGGAGGCCGCGGAGGCGCGGGTCTGCTCCAGGAGCCGAACGCCGCCGCGGTGGCGCCGCGGCCGCGCTCCGTCGCCGCCGCCAGCGAAGGCAGCGGCGCTCCCTCTCAGAGGAGGAGGGAGACGTGGTAGCCGACGACGCTCGTCGGCTCGAAGACGACCGCGTAGACCAGCAGGTCCGCGATCGCGCCGTGCAGCAGCCCCATCGAGTTCTCGAACTCAGCTGCGCCTCTGAAATGTTCAGACCAGCGTTCCGCCGCCGATGTGGAGGAAGGGGTCCTCCTCGGCGTCGTCGAGGCTGGTCGCCATGGGCCTAACCCCTCGCCCAGCAGGGGAAATCGGGCAAACTGCCCCTTTCATCGTCTGCAATGGTGAGGCCCCCCGAATCTACCACTCGCTGTGTAGGAGGAGGAGGAGGAGGAGGAGGAGGAGGAGGAGGAGGAGGAGGAGGAGGAGGAGGAGGAGGAGGAGGAGGAGGAGGAGAGGCGGAGGAGGAGAGGAGGAGGCGGAGGATGAGGAGAGTGGAAGGGACGATGCGACCGAGGGGAGAAGGACGAGGAACACAATAGGGAAGAGGACACATTCGTTAACCATAGACGGCTCGAGTTCGTATACCAACACTCTTGGGCGGCTGTTATGGGCCCTGGGCAAGCAGAGGCGACGAGTCCGCCATACCGTTTAAGGCGACAGCCAAGAGGAGGAGGAGGAGGTTCAGGAAGAAACGAGGGAGGAGGAAACGGAGGAAGAGGAGAAGGATCAGATAAGACACGCGTGCGTCGCTTGTCTCAACCATCTGCAGACCTCTCTCAAGATAAAAGAGGCGCGGCCTGGTAGTGGCTGGAGTGGATCTGTGTCCACTGCTTGCGGGGGAGCATCCTTCACCGATCGGCCTGTGCAGGGGACTTCTCTGGCCAAGTCCGAGAACCTTCGTTAGGGGAACCTCGGAGTTCTCGGCTGGGAACCATCATGGGGCGACGAGGTTTATACATATACACTGCTCCCTGGCCACGCCCATCCTGACTCCGGCAGCCGTGCATACGCCACACGCCCTCCTGGCCTGGCCAGGAGGGCGTCTGCTCAGCTGCTGGGCCCAGGTTGAGCCTGGCCAGGGAGCAGTGGCTATCTACAGACCTCGTCGCCCTACATCGCCCGACGCCGAAGGGGAGGCGCGCGAGGGGGCCCGTCCTGAGACCAGCGCCCTGCCTGGCCCGTCGCCTCGTCGCGCTCGGCCCGCGCGGCGTGCAGCTCCTTCGGGAATCTGCTGGCCCGGGCCAATCCAGACGCGGGTCAGCGAGGCCTTGCAGGATCCTGCGAGGTCAGTGCGCCCTTGGCTCTGCAGGATCCTGCAAGAGCCAGCGCGCTGACTGACCCCCGTCTGCATTGACCCCCCGTCTCTTGAGCCCCGACTCCTCTGCCGCCTCGCGCAGCCGCTCCGAGGCCCAGCGGCGGGCCTCCGCCGCGCCGGCCGCCGTCGGGGGCTGCGAGGGTCGTCGGCGCATCGTGCGTCCTAGTCCTCCTCCTCCTCCTCCTCCTCGTCCTCCTCCTCCTCCAACTCCTCCTCCTCTCCTCCTCCTCCTCCTCCTCCTCCTCCTCCTCCTCCTCCTCCTCCAACTCCTCCTTCCTGTCTTCTTCGCTTAGGTCCTGTTGCGCAGGTTGGGCCCGTCGCCGTGGATGCCTCCTCCAGGAGCCTGCTTGGGGAGCCCGTGTCCGAGCACCCCCTCCTTGCTGGCATGCACCCGTCCTATTCCCTGGGAGTGTTTCGGGGTATCCGTGGATCTCGCCAAACCCTGTCCTCTTGAGATGACTGCGACAAGGAGGCAGACTTTGAGTCGATTGAACAGGGAGCTCCCGCCTAAATACGGCATGGAGTTCCCTGGACTGTGAAGTGGCATGGTGGGGCTGAGCTTGCACTCAGGGGTCCCATCAGAGGGAAGGTGCAATAGATCCCTCCTCCTCCCTCCTCCTCCTCCTCCTCCTCCTCCTCGTCTGGTAGCGCCTCAATCCCATCCCCTCCTCCTGCCACTCTTCCTGCTCCTAGTCCTCCATCCGCTTCTCTATCCCGTTTCTTCATTTTCCTGCTAATCCGCCTTCTCCCCCTCCTCCCCCTCCTCCTCCTCCTTCTCCTCCTCCTCCTCCTCCTCCTCCTCCTCCTCCTCCTCCTCCCTCTCTCCCTCCCTCCCTCCCTCCCTCCCTCCCTCCTCCTCCCTCCACCTTCACCTCCTCCTCACCTCTCTCTCTCTCTCTCTCTTTCCCTGTCTCTCTATATTCCCCCTATCTCTCTTTGCCCTCTCCCTCTCTCTCTCTCTTTCTCTGTCTCTGTCTCTCTCTCTCTCTCTATCTCTCCCTCTCTTTTATAATTATCTCGCTCTGCCACCCTCTCTTTTTGGTGTGTTATCTCTCATATGTTAGCCCGCGTAGACCCCGAGCAGTGTGCTTCTAGCGATCCATGCTGTGCAATCTATCTTGTGCAATCGACGTGTTGTAATATATGTGGTGCAATACATGTTGTGAAAACTGTAGTGTGCACTAAATGTTGTGCGATACGTGTTGTGCTATGTTGTGCAATATATCGTGTGGAACTAGAACCACGCGCGCTTAGGTTCTAGTCGACTCCGAAGACGGTGTCAATTTCCATGGGACCTTGTCCATGTGGTCTTCCGGGTTCCTCCCTTTCACCCATGCGTGATTTTCGGGCGGATACTGCGAAGTTCAAGGGAGGGTTTGGCCTGTAGCGTACCAGCGACGACCGACGATGACGACGACGACGACGGACCACCGACGATCAGCATCATTGTCACCTGATCCACTTGTGCGGGAGAGGCGTTTCCGGAGCGTCTTACGGGCGTCATGGGAGCGTTTTCGGGCCTCGACATTGGGTGGGCGGGTCGGGGGGTGCAGCCAGGGCCACGTGTTCCGAAGGGCTGTTCGGGAGCATGGAGGACGAAGGGCTTCTGGCGGGCTTCTGAGGGTCTGTGTAGAGGTCTTCTGCGAGCTCGGTGGGGGTTTCTCGGGAGCTTCTCGGGGCTTTCTGGAGCCTTTTTGGGGCGTCGTGGAGGCCTCCTGGGAGTCTCTTGGGGCCTCCTGGGGGCCTCTTGGGGCAGAGGGCGCCTCTGTTCGGGCATTTGGGGGGCTCTGTGGAGCCTCCCGGGAATATGTTGGGCCAGCTTGGGAGCCTCTGGAGGGGTCCAGGGCCCCTTCTGAACCCTCTTGAAGCCCTCAAGGCCCCCCCAGCCCCCCATGCGAACCAGAGGTCGTAGTTCTGGGCCCATCCCGCAACCGTGTCTGGGTTGTGGGTTAGAGACTTCTCGGATGTTCGCTGGGATGATATCGTGGGGTGCCTTTCGGGGGGCCTTTTGGAAACAGGTTTGAAGCCTCCACGGGGGCGGTGTGGAGCTTGGCGGACCTCTCTTAAGCATCTTTGGGGCCTCTTTGGAGCCTCTTGGAGCCACTTGGGGGCCTCTTGGGGCCTAGCAGTAGCGATTGCGCGCGCGTCGAGAAACTCGGCCCCCAAGCCGATCGCGCACAGGTGGGTGGCAAGCTCGTGGGAGATAGCGTGCATGGGCCCCCCAGTGAGCAACAATACTCATTCCTTGAAACAGTGTGACAGTTCACCACTGGAAAATCAATAGGAAGCTCCCGCCCGAGAGGTCTCCAAACAGATCATCGAAATCGGGCTCCCGCCTGAGAAATCCTCCAAAAACCAAAAAAAACCAAGAGCCACCCCTCTCATCCTTGTAACTGTCCCAAACAACAACATGAAAACCCAAAGTTCTGGAGGAGGACTCCTGCTCCCCTCCGTTTCCTCAGGACTTCTCCTCTGGAACATTTTTTGGGACAGTTAGAAGGATGAGAGGGGTGGCTCTTGGATGTTTTTTTTGTTTTTTTTGGGACCTCTCAGGCGGGAGTTCGATTTCGATGATTTTTGTTGGGACCTCTCAGGCGGGAGCTTCCTTTTGAGTGAATCGATTGGTGGCCTCTCAGGCGGGACAGAACACAGCGCAACCTCACACAACACAACCACACAGAACACAATACAACACAACTTCACAGAGTCTCACATCAACAGAACACAACACAACATAACCTCACAATTTCTCGTCTGGCCGTCCGGGCGTCTAGGGCGAGGAGACGAACAATCAATGCATGACGAGACGAATCCGAGGAGGCAGAATGAGGTAGACCCCTTCGGTTTTAGCAGGGGTGCGGGAATACGCCAGGACCCACCTATATATATATATATATATATATATATATATTCACATACATACATACATACATACATACATATATATATATGGATTGCCGCGGGCATCTACCTCGATCGAGAAGACGAAGAAGAAGAGGAGGAGGAAGAGGAGGAAGAGGAACAAAGAGAAAGACAATTTCGTCGTCGCCGCCGATGTCTAACACATTTTCGCGGTCTTTCGACCACCCGAAGCATCTCCTCGAATTCAATCTCCAAGAACCGTTTTCGGTGCCGGGGACCACCGCCGAAAGTCCGGGATGAGGATCGACCTCCCTGGCCGGTGCCACCCCTTCGCAAAGGAAGGAACACGGGGTGGATCGAGGCTCGCGGCATGAGACTCCTAGTTATTGGGCGCTCTCCGCCCCCTCTGGGCCTTCAGGAAACTCCTCGTCGACACAGCTGGGTCCACTCTCGAACTTCTGGCCGGACGCAACCCCAGCTGGGTCTCAACGATCCCCGAGCCTATCCAGGAGGTGGAAAAGGAGGCCTGGGACAGGCCCCGTGAAGGCCCCAAGAAACTCACAGAAGACCACGAAGAACTCCAAAACAATCCCCTACAAGGCCCCCCCTTGCACCCCACACGCTACGTAGGACAGGCGGAACCCACAAGATTGCTCAGCGATCGCGCGCGTTCCGCGAATTCTGTCTTTCACTCTTGCTGCCGCCCCAAGGGGTCGGCGGTGCGGCGTAAGCCAATGAATCAAACTCTCCCCAGGCATGGGCACGTCCGATTGATTGACTGACTTGAGCAATGCCTTACCATTTTGCGTATGCTTTCAAAGAGACGTGCAACCCGTTGTCCAAGTGAAACTATTGTTCATTTCGTCTGTCCTTCTTGAACTGGACGACCTGGTTCGAATCCATTGTTGTTCCTGCTTTGTCGGTGAGATGAGGAATGTTGCGGCAATTGGCAAATGTGTCAGTAACGCAAATTACCTTTCCTGACTTCATGCTCTGCTCGCTCTCCATAGAAACTGATTTCCCATACCATCCGCCGACGACGGCTGCTGGCAAGCTGTCGATGATGTCGACTATACTGCTTTAAGCCCGAGTGCGGGTAGAGAAGGAAAACATTCGACAGCGAGCGGAGGACGGCGACGACGACGACGACGAGTGAGGAGGAAAAAGGATGAGGAACGAGGATGAGGATGCGAAAGAAACCCAACACGTTGTGCCTTATCCGCTTCAATTAGGCACAACCCTCAAGCGGATCGTGCCGCATAGGGAAGCTCGGCTACGGCACAATGAACACAAAATTGCACCAGTCTCGCCTCAATCCGGCGCGCCCCTCAAACCAATCGTGATCACAGAAAGCTCCAACTATTCGTTTGTCCTCATAGTTAGGCTCGTATTCGTGGTTTCTGTGTCGGTCCCAATGCCCTGCAAGAGCCTCCCCCAACGTCGTCGTACAACAGCTCTCTGAACATTACAAGTTCTTGATGGTGTCTGAAGCGAAAAGGGGGAACGAGTTAGCTCGCACGCACAGCCAGGACATGCCTGTGCAACCAATGTGTCCCCAGAAGCAACGGTCTGTAACGTTCCTACCTCAGGAGTGAGCTCCAACTGCAAACCCAGTGAGCACGTCCCTCTGCCCCTTCCCGTCCAACACGCTCTGAGAACAGATCTCGCTGGGACAAGGCAGATGGGGCCGAGGTCCTAGGATTCGCTTGCCAACTTTGGATGATCCGGCAAATCTGTTGTCGGGCAATCGCTTTACGTTGTAAGCGTGTGCGCCAATAGGTTCGCGTGGCGCCGGCGCGCGCAAAGGCTTTGGACACCGCGCCGATCGCTCAAGCCTGCAGCGACCGCGGCCGCGCCCCGTGGCGCCACCGTGGCCCTCGGTGCTGCGGCGTCGCCTCGGTCGTGCGGAAGTCAGCCTTGCACGCCTTCGCGGGCGTCGCCGGCGCGCCACCGCCGCAGGAACCTACCGTTAAGTCGGGCCTGCCCCCCTGCAGGGGGATTTTCGACGAAAAATAAACGACACCCTAAAAATAGTCAAAACATAATCCAAAAGTAGGCTGGGGACTATTTTTTGGACTATTCTTTGACCTTTTTGGGGCATTTTTGGGGTACTTTTTAAATTTTTTTCGTCGAAGATCCCCCTGTAGGGGGACAGGCCCGACTTAAACCCGTCGCTCGGACGTCCCTTTCCCGTGCATTTGTCGGCTTCGTGCGTCTTTTTTGTGCTCGATGGTCCAGCAGGGTCCTCAAGGGTGTCTCAGGTCGGGCATGTCCCCCTACAGGCGGATTTTGGACGACAAATTACAAATACGCCGAACAAGCTCCAAAAATGTTCCAACCATCGCCCCCAGACAATGCGCCTCCAAGGGTCCTCAAGGGTCCTCGCCGAGGAAAACATACACACGTCCGAGCGATGCCTTCGCGGGCGCCGCCGGCGCGCCGCCGCCGCGTGAGCCTGCCGTGCGCGCCGCGGCCCGAGCAGCAGCGCGGCGGCGGCGCTCGAGGGCGCTGATAGGCCTGTTTTCCACCACCACCACCACCATAAGTTGGAGGGGAGAAGGAGGAGGAGGAGGAGCAGGAGGAGGAGGAGGAGGAGGAGGAGGAGGAGGAGGAGGAGGACCCCCTCCTCCTCCAACTTATGGTGGTGGTGGTGGAAAACAAGCCAAGGAGGCGCGGCCCGAGCAGCAGCCAGCGCGCGCGAGCGCGCGCGAGCGCGCGGGGCCTCGTCGGCCTCGGCCTGCAGCCGGCTCGACCTCGCCCGCTCGGCCTCCGGCCGCGCGCGGCGCTGCGCCAGGGGGGGTCTACCTGGCTCGGCGAGGAGCATCGAGGAGGAGGAGGAGGATCGAGGAGGAGGAGGAGGAGGAGGAGGATCGAGGAGGAGGAGGAGAGGAGGAGGAGGAGGAGGAGGAGGAGGAGGAGGAGGCGGAGGAGAGGAGGAAGAAGAGGACCGGGGGCAGGATCGAGTAGCATCGAGGAAGAGAATCGGGGAGGATCGAGGAGGAGGAGGAGGAGGAGGAGGAGGAGGAAGAGGAGGAGGAGGAGGGGGAGGAGGGGAAGGGGGAGGAGGAGGAGGAGGAGGAGGAGGAGGAGGATCGAGGAACATCGAGGAGGAGGGAGAAAGGACAGCAGAATTGTAGTGTAGTGCCAATGTCTTTGAGGGTCGGCATAGACCTTTCGAGTCGGGAGGGGCACATGGGCTCTCCCATCCTTGAAGCGGTGGATGATATGCGTGGTTCGCATACCCCGAGACAGCCACCTCTGTTCGACACATTCGATTTGACGGGGGGTGCTTCACGATCGCCCCTATCGCCTCCCACCGTACAGGTGATATGGTATGATGCGTGTCTCATCACCTCAGACGCTGGCTCCCGAACCTCGTAGGGGGCCTCAAGGCAGCTCACCAGGGGCCACATGGGCAAGAGAAGCTTGCTGCCCTAGTTGGTGCATGTGGGCCTGCTCCACCGCAGGGAGTATCGCCATCCTGGTGGTGACGGGGCGGGCCCGCGCCACATCAGGGCAGCACGGGGAACCTGCCCTGCAGCAGGCCAGGACGCCGCCGCAGGGGTGGCCAGGGGGACCTGCGCCAGCGCAGGTCGGATCTCCACCTTAGGGGCGACACGGGCGGGCAAATCTCAGGCACATGGGTCTCCCCCACGGGCGAAACGGGGCGGGCCACCTCCACTGCCGCATACAACTGCCGATGTCACCGCTGTGGGGTGGCAA